TGAGTCGAATGACCGACTAAGTTGGATACCATATTTTTCAAAAGGATGTTCCTAGTAATTTTTTTAGATTTACTATTCACATGTGTGCATGTGGAACCATGTTAACCTTTTTATCTTCGCTCAAACCATGTACTTACATCTAGTATTTTTCCTATACAATCCTATTGTTAAGTACTCCTCTGTCTTATACTCCCTCTGTTCCTGACTTCATGTATGTAGTGCGCATTTCATCTAGGCTGCAATACCAATGAATGAGCTAGCATGTGTACTTTGGACTCTGCTACCCCTCTACTTAGCGAACCACAATTTCTCAACCACACAATTCCAGCCCAGCGAAGGCTAATTCCGTCCAAAACACCAACCGCACACTACGTTGTGGAACTTTCTGAGAAAAATAATGTGCATTGCATAGAGGAACGGAGGCAGTAATGTAGTGCATATAATATATTATTTTTTGCTCAAAATAATAATAATGTAGTGCGTATATTAAAAAACTTTACAAACCTTCTTCTGAAAAACTTTACCAAGTTTATAGATAAGAATATTTATATATAAAATACTAACCACATATCATTAAATACATAACGACATATATTTTCATACTGTATATATATTTGATATTATAAATATTTTTTTCTATAAATTTGGTCATAGTTCACAAAAAAATCATATGCACTAGTAGTTTAGTACGTTACGGAATTGAGAGGCAAAACCAGTTTCGTGGACCGTTTTTTTCTTTTTGGTACGAATGGAGCGTTGTTGGTGAGCTCATGAAGCTGCTCTAAATGCAGGGGGGGGGGGGGTATATTACATACAGTACACTGTATAGCAGTTAGTATACAACGATGAAGCTGTATACTGCAAAGAAAAGATAGATAATAGGACAAGCAAGTACTGTACCGGAGGCATTGATCGGCCGCCATTGACTCCGACGACTCCTCGGGTCAGAGTTGCCGGTGAGATTTCCCATCTGATTTATTAAATTTGCGCTGAATACGGCTGAAATCCGGATCGACGTATGACATACGGCATTTTAAGAATCCAAGGATACACATGTAGTTGTGGCTGTTAATGCTGTAGTGTCAACCTCCCCCAATCAGAATGATCACCGTGGGATTTTTGGACAAATCTACTATATTTGATAGAGTTTGCAAATGACCAAGGCGTTGATGGTGCAAATGCACAAATCTACTTTAGTCCTATCCGATTTATCAAATTCTCCTTGAATGCAGCCAGCCAGCAGAATTCCAAATCGATATACAACATACGGCATTTCAAGAATCCAAGGAGACGTGTATGTGTTGTGGCCATTAATGTTGTAGTGTAAACCTCGTCCCAACCAAAATATTCACCAAATGATTTTCCTTGTGCATAAATCTACTGTATTGGTTAGAGTTTGTAAATGATGAAGACGTTGTTGGGGCGAATACATAAATCTACTCTATTTTCATCTGATTTATCAAGTTTGAAGAAGGCCATCCAGCTGAAATACGAAGCGACGTACGACATTCTAGGAATCCAATGGTACGTATACGTAGTTGTCGCTATTAATGTTGTAACGTTAACCTCCTCCCAACCAAAATGTTGACCATTTGATTTTTCTCGTGCCCAAATCTAGTGTACTTGCTAGAGTTTGCAAAAAATGATGGTGTTATTGGCCTGAATGCACAAATCTACTGTATTCCCATCTGATTTATTAGATTCACCTTGAATATGGCAGCCAAGCGAAATCAAATTTGACGTACGCCATAAGCGGTCCAATAATTCATGGATACGTGCACGTAGGTGTGACCGTCAATGTTGTAGTGTTAACCTCCCTCCAACCAAAATGTTCACCGGGTGATTTTGCGCGTGCACACATTAACTGTATTTTGTAGAGTTTGGAAATGATAAAGGCGTTTTTGGTATGAGCGCACATTTCGGCCAAGGCTACAACAAGGATTTGATTAGGACGTGCTCAACTTGTCGCCTTGGCCCCAACGGGATGGGCTGGGGAAGATTTCTGGGATGCGCATCGTGGTACGCTGGTATCGGTGATATTTTATCATCATTGTCGCTACTTAAAAAACACAAGTTTCATGCCTTACTGGATGAAGTTTGATTTTAGGAAAGCATATAGTCTCGCTCAAAACTTTTCAATGTTTTTTAATCTACGAACATCCAAAATGACAAATTGTTAGTATTTCAATTACTTAACAACCGTTACTGTCTAAATTTGCTACCCAACTGCAATAGCAGAGGCTTTTCGTCCATGAAACTGTTGGAAAGATGCAGATTTGCCCTTTGCCCTATTGGGAGATGCCTAATAATGATAATGTGCGGTTGTTCTCTCGCGGGTGGTGGCTCAATGAGCATGTTTATGAAAAACAAGAAAATAGGTGAAATCTTTTAAAAAATCAAGTAATAAGAAGAAGAATGAGGGAAATCATATATAGAATTAATGACGTTCACAAGAATACATAAATTGTGCCTATGAAATCCGAATCGACGTACGACATACGACTTTTCAAGAATCCAAGGATACACATGTAGTTGTGGCCGTTAATGCTGCAGTGTTAACCCCCTCCCCCCCTCCCCCCCCCC